ACAGGAAGGGTATACGAAACCCTTTATTTTCTCTCTTTACAATGATTTCCGGACTTCGGAATACAGAGACCAACCACTTGTGGTCTGAACGTAAGAATATAAAAATATTAACTAAACTTAACTTTGGATTAATCAAACAAGTGCCTACTCCAAGATTGGCCGTATATTAGCAAAAAGCCGTATGTAGTACAGAGAACTGCTAACACTACGATACGTTTAAAATTATCAAGAGGATTAAACCTCTGGCCTTGAAGGCAACCAGCAACCGAGTAAAACTACTATGGCAAGCGGCCTGCTTCTAATAGCTCCTTCCTCTCTCTTGCTTGGCAAAAAGCCACGACTTGAGTACTTGGCGTTCGCAAGACAAATTTGCATAAATAAGTTAAAGCTTTTAATTCTGGCCGGAAGTAAAAAATAAGAAGTGATAGTAAAGATTTAAAATAAAATAAACGTTAGTAAAACTTAAGATCCTTACAAAGTAAGGTGACCAGACGTCTCGGTTTTTAACATTTTGTCCCACGCTCCGCGGTGTTTTAAAAAAGGTCTCGATTTTTGGGAAGAATGCCCGACAAGCTAGGGAATGGCGGGAGAGCGAGTAGGAATATACGGCTATTTCGCCAGGATATGAGTTATATTATTTTTATTAATTTTATAATGTCTAAATTTAATAGTAACAATTTATTGTTGAGAATTGATTATCGAGAACTACTTAACAAAGTTCGCATTCTTGATAAGTTATTAGTATTCACCACCATTGTTTGGATTTAAAGAACAATGGCATTTCATTGGCATTGGCAACGACGAAAATATTTTGTAAATGTCTCTCATACGGTACACATCGTATTGTGTTCTAGTGCTCGTTAAACAAGTGATGCCAACAAATCAGCTATTCAGATAATTAGGTAACTTATTTACTTATTTCATAAATACATAAATTTTCATGAATATAGCAGACAGTACTCGTATTATTTATATTTTACAGTGGCGGCAAAAAGTCTAGCGCTGGCCTTGGAAGTGACACTTATGTTACGGCTAGAAAGAAATCTAGGATTAAAATTTAAATAATTTTTAAAATACAGTTACTTAAAAATTACAGTTTTTAAAATACAGTTATAATTAAATTAATTTAATTTATAGATTAACAATAAAATATGTTCATGTAAGTATGTACCTACTTACTGTGTTTTTAAGTTATATGTATATAAATATTCATAATATGATTTGAATTTTTTTTAGATTTTTAACGTAATGAGTAAGAAAAGAAGATGCAAATTCAACGATGATCTAAGAAGTGAATTTCCTTTCATAAAAAAAAGCTGTCGAAAGTATACGATCCTTTGAAATCCTACTTTCTTTACAAGATAAATATCCTAGAATTTTAGAAGAATTTTCTAAAAAAGAATATTCTAAAATTTGGCTAGAAGTTTTACACAATCAAGCAACTCTTTTTCAAAATGCTGTAAAACATATTGAAGGTGACAAAATTTCGGTAATCGAAGTAACAAATAAAGTTAATAATTTAAAATTTAAATGTCAAGAACGGTTAGAAAATAATTTTCTTCCGTTAACTCTCCATAATAGTATAAGCCAGCTAGAAGAACTATGTGCAATAAATCGTGCATATATCATGAATCACGTTAATATGTTCTATAGTTACTGCCTAGATTATTTAGAAGAGTGGATGGTATATTACAATGATATTGAACAATATTCATTGGGTTACATTAAAACAAGAACTTAATTGGAATGTGCAAAAATCATTTGGATCATATTACTCAAAATTTTCCGTATAGTAATATTTCTTGAAAAGATTTTTTTTAAAATTAGATATCATTATTAAAAATATATTGATAAGGAAAAGTTTAAATCTTGGACATCAGCGAAAATCACAATAGAGAACAAATGGTTAGAAATATTTCATCATTTTGAAATGAAGTAATGCATATATATTCCATATAATAATCCACTAAAAACTGTGGAATACGCACTGTTCTTAAACCAGGAACCATGCTGCGATTGAGCGCTTTTTTTCTACGATAAATAAAGTGCGGACATCAGAAAAATCACAATTAAGTGTTGAGACTTTGAAAGCCATTTTATGTGTGAAATATAATTTAACAAATTCTTGTGAAAAATTTCATGACTTTTCAAGCAAAAACAGCAATCTACTAAAACAAATTCACTCAAATGAGAAATATGCCAAGGCAAAAATAATACTGTAGAGTCATTAGGTTAATTGGAAGCAGGAGAAAGGAAAAATGAGCAACCGCCTTCGCCGGGAATCGAACCGCGGACCTCTGAAATACGCACCCAGCGTGCAGACAAACACACCACGAAGGCATGCGAAGAAGGCGGGAGAAATACCTTATAATACTATACATAATTTCTTTTAATGTATTATATTTGTAAATCGTATTTGTGTTGAAATTTTAAAAATATATTACAATACTATTTTTCGTTCCATGAAAATTTGGGTCGCTCCATATAGACCAAATGTTTTATCACCCCCCGGTCAATGTTGTCCCGATTTACCAATATTAAAATCTGGTCACCTTACACTAAAGTTCCTAATTAATTATTTTCTGGTAAAACGCCATATCATATAGTAGGGAAGATATATAAAATAAATATAAGGGAGAAAATCCGCAAAAGTTATTCGATATATTTTTGAAATCAATAATATATATATTTTTTAATTTATAAGTTTTTTATGCAATAAGTGTAGTATGAAAAAAGTAAAACACACAGAACAGCCGTGTCGGGTGTTGAAACTTGTTCATACAAGTTCTGATCAAACGAAAATTACGTCATCAATATTTAAATGTACTCTTTACATTTGGCAAAAACTATACGAGATTAACTGCTACATTTTTTTTCCGCCACACTGTCCACGTCCGTACTTTGTACCGCACTACCACGCCCGTTGTGGAAACTACTACTCAACAAAACAAGCATACACTGCAGAAGAGATAAGAGCGACTTGTGATATAATCATATTCATAGAGTATTTATAGTTGCCGGCTTACGAATTTGGCTTAGGTTAAATCAATAATTTACCGAGTAAAAAAAAAAAAAAAAAGATTCAGTATGTTTTAACGAAGTGATTTAATAATAAAGGTAAGCAATTTCATGCCAGGTTGCACCAATGCATCAAGCGCAGCTATCACATTAATTAAAATGGAATTTTTATGCAATTAGAAGGTGTTATTCTTTTCTGAAAACTGGTTTATATATGTAATATTAAAATTAAGAATGATACAAAAAATAATAAAACACAGATTTAATAAACCATTTTTGTTCATATTCTTAGTCTAATTGTTAAGTTATTTATCAGTAATCATTTTTATTATGATTATGTTGTATGATGTATGTTATAGAACAAAAAATATAGGGGGGTCGATGAAGAAAACCATTCTTTTAGAAAACGTCGATGCAAGAAAAAAGTTCGGAATCCCTGATCTACAGTAATATTTTAGGAAATAAATACCTCAAAGTGTCATGTTATGCAACACATCTTTCTATTCGGATCATCTGATTTCGGAAAGAGGCTTTTGTTTTGTTTCTTTGTGTCAGTTGAAACCATCAATGAGCTAGAGATTTATGATGAGATGGCTGCACACTGATAGTTTTGCCCTTATTTCTCTTTTTCTATACCAGCCTTTCCGTGCAGTGTAAATACTAGTAGTAGTACAGTAGCTTGCAATATCGATTCTGCCTCCTAAATTCTGAGGAGTTCAGGTGTGGGTCTAATATACAGTTTGATAATATAGCTTTCGGAAAATCTTCCAAAATAAGGTTTGCATCAGAAGGGGAATTCCTGTTCCATGATCTCTAAAATCAATGTTTGAACATCGAACTATGGCATTGAAGAAACTTACAGAACATTTTGTAAAGTTTATTGATGATTCAGTTAGAAATTTATCTTTTGTAATACCTTTTATTTCGTTTACAATTTAGAGAAACAAGAATTAAGTCTTCGAAGAGCTCTAATACAAGAAAGTGTTGAAAACGAATTGCAAAGCAGTGTGCGCTTCGGTTATTGGCCTGATTATATAAATACGAGCAAGACGTAAACTGAATGAGAAAATCATGCCTTGTTTATTGCATTTCCAGAGCAGCTCAAGGATATTTTAATAATATAAATCCCACCATAGTTTCGTTAGTTGAAGATGTACAATTAACTTCATGTTAAAAAAAGCTAAGAGAGTCAATCTAAATGTGTTTATGCAGTATTATCTAACTGTCACTGTAGATATATTTTTTTAATTTCAGCAATACGTAGAAAAATGTCTGAGTTGTACATCAAACAAGAGCTGGGTCACATTAGGACTTAAAATCTGGTCCATTTAAGACCAGGACTTGACCCTCACAACCAGGTATATTCCAAGTGTGCACTTGTATTGCTTCTGGGAAGAAGAATGAAAGGATAATTTTCTAATCTTCTCCCTTCCTTAATATCACTCTTGCATAATATTTTGTATTTGGAAAGATATGAAAAATCTGATTATGTGTAAAAAATCCTTAATTTTATAAGCCCCTTTTTAGCGGATCTGAAAATGCTCAGAAATACCTCATCAACTAGTTTCATTTTCTAATTGCTGAAGATAACACTATTAGCGTATACTTGAAAGAAATGAATCTGAATATTATACATTGAATTCTATGAAACTGCAAAAGTGCTATTATTTCCAGCTCACATAGTGAATTATGGATCATCAGCTGAATTCATGATGATTCATACTATGTTACGCACAATTATATTTCTGTATAGCACAGCTATTTTTCGGTACGGTTCAGCTGTGAGAAAAATAACCAGGGACATTGCTTGAAAGTTTTAGGTTTGTTACATGCCTTTATATAATAAGCAATATGTTTATAGTATAAACTCTTATTTGTGATCTAATAATCAGTTTGAATGTTAAAAAATGCATTGCTTTTCTTTTCTTCCAGGAAACACATATAGAGATCTTACCCATGATCTAGAGGTCTTCCATCAGGCATGTGCGGCATGTGCCCCGGCATATTTCCCGGGTGGGACATCACACCGGGTGGATGATGGTTCATAGGTCCCGGCATGTGAGAAGCAGGCGGGGGAGGGGGGTGATGGTGCGGGGGTGGATTAGGTGAGGGGTGGTGCGTCGGTTTCCACCCGGCGTCCTCCAGGGCCGAGGAGCCTCCCTGTAGTCACGCTCGAGAACCTCGTCCTCTCATAGCGCAGGTCGACTTGGCCCGACCACGGGGTTTGCGTGTCTGGGAAGGAATAAAAGATTCAAAGTCAGCGTAAATGTTAAAAAGAATGCGAATTGAAAATATGCATATTATTCCATTCATTTTATAACTATAAACGAAATTAATACAAGTATAATATTATAACCCATAAAAAATGTAAACACATCACTGATATTGTTAGCTTTTGTCTGAGTAACTGACGTCAACAAGAAATGATTATTGAAGTATTATTCGTTTTCTTAAAGACAAAAACATACATATGTATATTTAAATACACATATGTGTTACCGGCAAAGTATGAAACGGCCCGGCATTCTATAGTATGCCTAGGCATTGTACATAATGCCGGACGATTTTAGGCATAGAATGAAATATGAGAATTATTACATACTTTCCCTAGGCATTGTACATAATACATAGATATTCTATAGAATGACAAATGCTATTTAGGCAAAGCATGAAAAAGGTTATGATAAGGCTATTATTTTTAAAGACATTCATTCCTCAAAAATACAAATGTTGTTTTGAAAATTAATGAAAGAGTGCCATTAAAAAACTGTTATTCGAAACATGTAATGAAAAAAAAAAAAAAAAAAAAAAAAAAAGGATAGTGAGATGATCTTGATACAACATAATAAATTTGTATTTTTTATCTGGCTGAGACTGAGAATCGTTAAGATCTACCCGACAACGGAAATTAAATTCAGAAACAATCATACGTTTCACAATAATGCCCTTTTTAATAGCTTTTTGTTTTTTTTGGCAGTGCTCACAAAGGTGGTGTAGAGTTCAATATCATTACAGGTAACGTTTTTATATTTGGTTGAAAGTTCTTTCAACATTCTGTCACGTCTTCCGTGTCCAGTACTCAAATGAGTTTTCGTGAATGAAGTAGGGAAATAACTTGGCGCCTGTGTGACGTAATACTGTAGTATAGTATTGACGCTTTCTTTAACAGAATTAAATGAATGTACTTTTGTTTTCCACAAGACATCATATCCTAGCGACTCAGTGGCTAGTAGTCTTCGTTGTTCCTTCTTAGTAGTCATTTTGCTTTTTTTACATCATTTATTAACTTCTGGAAAGTATTTTGGTTCTTCGAAACGAATCGGAAATGTATTACATACTTTGCCGGTTTGACATTTGGCATTCTGTAGAATACCTAGGAAATGTATGAAATATGAATCGCTACATGTATTGCCGGCTAGGTTTAGGCATCATATACAAATTATATACAATTCTCAAGTATTATATTGAATGCCGGATTTCAAACTTTGCCGGTAAATATGCATTTTAAAAAGCTCACAAAGGATGCCTCAAGCGAATTTTTGCTCACATCGTACATACTGTACAGCAATAGGGATCCAGTAATGCCATTTGCTAACTGTTAGACAAATGTTGCATTAAGATGAAAATTATAAAATCTACAGGCCACTATGGTTGGCAGTTTGTCATTGACTTTTAACCTTTCTTCCTGGTAATTTATCGAGTTCAGATTTTGAGGAAGCACTGTTTGTGGATGATAATACATTGTGGTGAACCGAGCTTTTCCTAAATTTCGATTTAGAATTTTTAAACTTTAATGTTTAAATGATTTTTTCATACATATCTTCGTTTAACGAACACAATGAAAATATCAAAGATTTACTGTTTGCACCATCAGACAGAGAGAAAAAAAATCTTTTAACTGAAACCTATATAAAAGTTTTGCTGTCATTTTTGGAAACTTCTTGGAAACTGCTTAATTCTTTTCGACTATTCAAGAATAATAAAAGAATGGGGGCTTCAATGAAAAAAAAACTATTTAAAGTATAAACCATTAACTTTTTACCATTTATCAAGGATACCTCGTTCTTTTCTTATTCGTGATAAAAAATTGTAGAAGATTGTAAAGAGAATTATTTAATCTCTAATTAATTAATTGAAAGAATAAAAGAAACTTATTTAAAGGTTAAGGTTGGCAAAAACTGCAATTATATGGCCAAAGGAATGAAAATGGTTGTTTACTAGTATCAGATAAAATTTAGTTTACATCGTATTCACGGTGAAAAATGTCAACAGCCTGATTAGCACCGAAAAACCTAAGAAACATTCAGCAAACAAGCAGGAGAAACTGCAATGATGATTTAGAGCATATTTTTAAATATACTGATAAATTTCCCGTTGTAGATACGAATCAATGTTTTCATATAATTTTTTTTTTCGATTAGGTGACTAAGTCTTAACCACTGAGCTACACAAGTGTCTCAGTGGCTAAGACCAGTGAATGCTGGTAATTCGCCTTGGGCTCGGCCCCACGCGAACGCTCTGGTTGCACGGGTAGTTTTCACGATTTTCGCCATGCGTAACAGGCCCACCAGGGCCCGAGAGGTAAAGTCGCTGAACACTTGATGTTATCTTCAGGGTTCAAATCCCCGCGAATGAGCTGCCTGCGTTAGCGTTTTCGTGTTTTTTCCCTCATGTGTAGCATGTTTACGAGCTAGTTATCCTTAGAAAATCTTTTACGAAGGTAATCCTTTCCATAGGCAGATAGCCGTCGAGAGCTTTGCTGTAATCAAATAAACCAAATCAAACTTCTACTCATAACGATCCAGTTATCTACCGAAAATCTTTCACGAAGGCATCTCTCCCTTTAGGCAGATAATCTTCATGTCCTTTGCTGTATTCAAATAACCTAACTCAATCACTCAGGATATTATTGACTAAAGAAAGCCGAGATCTTAAACTGATTAAACTATCTGATGACAACTTAATGAAACTCTTTTATTGCAGTAATAATAATAATATTCTTCCTTTCAGTTAAGGGATTACGTATAGTGTTATCATTATTAAGACAAAATAGATATTAAATATGTATAAAAATTGGTTATTTTTTATCTCAAAGCGGATTTATTTATTGCTTATAATCAAATGGATGGACATTAATTATCAAATTTGAATTGATAATGGTTGAAATTTGAATTGATAATGGTTGAATTGATAATGGAGGTTTATAACCAAATTCAGTGGTACTTCAGCATAAGTTTTACTTCTAAATGGCTACAACCTACGCGTATCTTGTCATTTCTCACTTTACCCTTAAAATAAAGACACTTTTTAAAGAAATAACAGTTAATTTCAAAATAAACTTCAGATTTTTTATTTGTTTAATTTTATTTGGTAAGTTACAAAGTCAAAGCAAAATTTAAATCAAAAAGTTTCCTGAAGGTATAAGAAACTATCAACAATGAGATATTTGATTTTGGAGAAAACTAAGCTGTTAAAGGCTTTGACTGGGCAACAGATCTCTCAAAAATCCGACCAGAACTTTTACCCAGTGTTAAATTAAATCTAATCTTGTCAAATATTCAGCCTTTAGGCAAACTCAACACAGCTCAGCAACGGGGAATGCCGCTGAGGTAACAGGTGGGCGTGTCAGACAACTTCTATCTTCAGCTTATTCACGTATCGTTTAAATGGTCTGCTCTAATTTACATCTTCTGAAAGAGTTAACTAGGAAACGAAAGTGTTAAGGACAAGAAATAAACTTAAAGTAGTTCAGTTTGTATAAAATCTTGTAACAATGTATGGGGTAAAAATGCAAGGGTATTTATAATTTATACAGCAAGCTATACTGAAGCTATATATATAAGCCAAATACTAAGCAATGTTTAAAATTTTAGCATTATTATTTTACGGAATACTAAGCATTGATTAAAGTTGAAAATGAACAGTTAATTAAAACTTAAATATTAGTTTAGTTTAGTGCCGTTCATTTTTCAATAACACTATTAAAAATAATAATTATTTTTTCAGGCTGTGCTATTGTGTTTTATTTGCGAGTATTTGTTAAGTACTTCATAGGTTCAGCTGTAAGTTTTAATTGAGAAATAAAATGACATAAAAATATACGAACTTATATATCTGCAGTATTAAGAGACATAATTAAGAGAATAACAACGCATAAATTCCTGTATTTGAGGAATTAAGTTTTGTTCTAAATATCTTGTTGTTATCTCTTTCGTAGACTATTTGCTAAGATATAATGCCTCAAATTATATCCAAAATAATTTGCCACGTAAAGGAAAACTGAATTTAAGTCTTCCTAAGTGACGCAAATGAAACCATCAATTCAAGAAAGGAGGGATTTTCTCTTTCTTTTAAACCAAGTAGTAGGATCACTTCCAGTTGCCGAAAATGCGATTAATGAACCACGTATTTTGAAAGATAGGAAAACAAGCGCTCTTTAATTTACACTCTTTGCACGAGGCATTCATTTTTTAATTAGCTTACTTCTAACAAGACAAACTGAACACAAGATTAATGTTTGAAGTTTGATTTATAAAAGGATTGTAGTTTCTCTTTTTAGAATAAGAAGATTGTATTTTAGTGAATTACAGCAATTAGCGCAGAAATGAGTGAAATTACTGGCTGTTTGAAAGAAATTTAATTACATTAATTTCTCAATTATAGTTATACCCTACGATTCTTTCTAGGCGTTGGGCTTTGGAATTGGGATTATACGGCTTTGTTTCTGAGTTGTTACAGCATGCATTGTCTTTCATTTAGTTTAGTAACAAGACAAAAGCATTGTGCTGATTTGTTATAAAATGTTGTTACTAAACTGAATAACAGGTAAAGCATCGGATTTCGTAACACCGATGTAGGATGAAGTCATCCGTCCCCCCTTTTTACTTCTTTGTACGAAGTAAAAAGGAAGTATTGTAATCGCGAAAAGTTTCAGGCAGCATATTTCAACGAAAATATCCATTTGGATCGCTATCAAATGCAATGTAACGATGTTTTTGCGTGACATCTGTAATAAAAGAATTTTTTTTCTCTAAAAAAATTATAAAACTGCTTTAAAATGAATTCTGAAGAGAATTCTTCGTGGTGTCTGTGCGTACGTATGTGTCTCGCATAACTCAAAAACGTGGAGCGTCAGAACGTTGAAATTTTGTATATAGGACTGCTATAACACGTAGATGTGCACCTCGTATTTTGGTTGCAATCGAACGCATCAGACGTATACAAATATATTT